ACAGACAGGTGTGCACCTCAATCTTGTTGAAGAGCTCAGAGTCCAGCAGAGTGAGCTGTTCAGCTAAATCCTGACTCCTGAAGTCCAGAAGAGTTCCTGGTCTGAAGGACAGAAGAAGGGAAACTGATCAGTGGTAGCACAGCATACAATGGCTTCGTTCAATCAGGTGAGAGGGCTTACCTGGCTGCCACGCCTTTGGCAGCGAGTGGGCGAAGTGACTGAGGAGAGCCAATCAGCTGCCATCTCTTTTCCATCTTGGACAGGATGTTAGAATGCAGCTGGTGGGCGTGTCCCAGCGCTCCACCACGTAGAAGGCTGAACACCAGGTCCATCAGCAGCAGCAGCACATCAGACTCCAGCTCTGTGGCACTGCACACATGACCAACAGTCAGTGGACAGCCAAACACGCTACATGCCAGAAAGCCGCCGATTGGTTCAGGTGTGTGTCTCACCAGAGTTCTTCCACCACTCTGTCCAGCAGGTCAAACGTGTTCTTGGTGGCTGCAGGTTCTCGTCTGTCGCACAGGTGTCTGTACGTGTGGACAGTTAAAGATTCACGACAAACAGACAGATGAATACTGAAACTGTGACTTTGTTCAAATAGCAGCGCGCCTGCTGTGTACAGCTGTCCTGTACACCTGTCTATGGTGCAGGTACAAGTCTGTACAGGAGTGTGTTCCTTTGCTGTGTGTATTTCAGAGTACGAAGAGCAACTGGTCCCGGTCTGAGTTCACTCAGGTGTTTGAGGATATCGGTGCTGCAGTTTGCTGATGACGTTGTTGGGGCTGATGAAGCTCCTGTAGGTGCAGAGGAAGGCTTCGCAGTACAGGTCCTGCTCTACAAACACACACAGTTCACTGCTTAGACTTCGGCTCAGTTATTCTCTCATGGCCCTGCACTGATGCAGGAACAAACACTTGTAGTCCTGAGCTAAACGTTTCTGTCCTGGAAGATTAGATTCTTCTACTTTTCCTCTACAATTGATCTCATTTTGTCTTTTGAGCACAACTGATTATGTTGCACAAGTAGGCACTCCACAGACAGATTACTATTTTGACACACAAACTATTAACTACCTTGCACCTACAAGTTAGTGTTATTCATTAAATAATCATGTCTTGCAGCAATAAGTTGGTACCTGAATAAAATGTAGTCTGAATAAACAGTATCTCAGGTACATAGGTTGGTATTTTGTGGAAATAACTTACTGTTGCTACTGTTCTCTGTGGCGTGAACCAATAAGATCTCAGGAGAGGCTGCCTTCACGTCTGGCCCCTCCTCCTCCTGTGACAGAGGTCAGGGTTCAGGGATCAGGGTTCAGGGTTCAGGGTTCAGAGATCAGGAGTCAGGGTTCAGGGTTCAGGGGTCAGGGTACAGGAGTCAGGAGTCAGGGATCAAGGTTCAGGGATCAGGGTTCAGGATTCAGAGATCAGGAGTTAGGGTTCAGGTTCAGGTTCAGGTTCAGGAGTCAGGAGTCAGGAGTCAGGGGTTCAGGGTTCAGGGTTCAGGAGTCAGGGTTCAGGGTTCAGGGTTCAGGGTTCAGGAGTCAGGGTTCAGGGTTCAGGGTTCAGAAGTCAGGGTTCAGGGATCAGGGATCAGG